AGTGACTGCATGAGCCAGATCTTGGCAGACGTTTCACTGCGAAATAGAGTGAGAAATCGGTGTATGACACAAACTGACAAACCCACATCACCCGGGAAGGCCACGACTCAAATATTAAACATATAGTCTGATCACAGCATTATATAGCCAGCCTATAGAGATCATGTGCCAGTGTATTTTTAGTATTATTTTTTTATACTATTTCCAGCTTAATTGTAGTAATTTTATGAGCTTTTGCCATTTTTATTTCTATTTAGCTTTATTTTTATTGCAGCTTTAGTTAGACTAATTTAGTACTTCAACTGAAACATTTATAATTTTCAAACTTTTTGTCACATAATGTTTATATTTTATTGTGTTTTATTAACAAAAAAATAATTTAGTTGACTACAACACTACCACGTGCCATTACAGAAGACTACAAACTATGTCCAGATTCAAAAACATCTTCAGAAAGACTTTTGGACATGATATTCAGATCTTTCCTTATTTTTTTCTACAGTGTGTCTAACTGTAAGGTGAGAGTGGCGGTGACATAACTTATCTCAATGTGGCTTCTGGGAAACCAGAATGGTGCAACACTCAAGTTTCTCAATTAAAATTGAGAAAGGACTATTGCAACAATTACGAACATTGGATAAAAGTCACAATACTTTGCAGAAAACTTTTTTTTATCTTAGTCTTACAGCCTAAAACAGCAGTAACAGTGAATATATAATAACCAAGAACTAAACAGAAAGGGAAACTAAGTTAATGGGAATGTAATGGAAAAACACCACTGTTGGCAGGTTTTGAAAGTCTTAAAAGACAATATTGTAGCCAAATATTTGAGAGCTGGCGGGTCTAAGGAAGTAGTAAACCATAGTTCTTGATTGTTTTGAATTTCAAAAACAAAAGAACTTTTGTAGATTGGGTCATGCACATGCAATGTAATTGTATTGCCAGAATCCACCCAATAGTGATGATTCATGTGTAATGAAAGCAAAGGTACAACATTTGGTTCTGGCAGAGCTCGGTTTCCAGTAACTTTCCTCTGACTAACAGCACATGAACATAGAGACAGTGCTGTGGTTAATCACTGCAACGCTAACAGCCAACACATCTCAAAGGGAAGTAAAAGGATTGTGTGTCTGTATTTTTTATTTTTTTATTCACAAGAGATTGATCACGAGAAGGGGGACCGGGGGGTGCGTGTTAAACTACAGGGGTCACACTTCTCAGCCTCCCTGGGAAAGTCTATGCCGGGGTACTGGAGAGGAGAATACGGCCGATAGTGGAACCTCAGATTCAAGAGGAACAGTGCGGTTTTCGTCCAGGCCGTGGAAGGATAAACAATATTTAAAAAGAATATAAATATATATACAATTAAAATAAATATAAAATTAAATAAAAAAATAACCCCAAAATATAACAAAGCTAAATGGGGATATCTATAGCATACAAATGAATATACCACGTAAATTTCGTGATCCACGTAAATTTGCTGGTATAATCTGCCACTGGGCCGGCCCTCTGTCAAATTTTAAAACCCAGTGTGGCCCTTGAGCCAAAAACTTTGCCCACCCCTGCTCTACAGGATGCTGGAGGGTTCATGGGAGTTTGCCCAACCAGTCCACATGTGCTTTTCGCATACGCCTTATTCACGGCAGCGCCATCTTTGATTTTTAATGAGAATTAAAGCGAGGCTGTGAGGGATAGACATGCATCTCTTCAATTGGCTGTACTGTTATTTAATGTGTTTTCGTTTTGTTCTGCTCATGAAACACTGGAAAAATATCTTTCCAAGAAATTTTAGTTGACAAAAAACTCCCGACAACGTAAGCTGTGGAAAATTGTAAGTAATCTAGGAGCTTTATTCAGCTTTTTACAGCGGATGCCATTGTAAACACGGTAAGTCTATCCCTCACAGCCTCACTTTAATACCTGTCATGGCGCTTCTCTGAATAAGGTCTATTGCCAACAGTATTTCAGACTTGTTCCCGGTGCATGTTGGACTCCGGCAGGGCTGCCCTTTGTCACCGGTTCTGTTCATAATTTTTATGGACAGAATTTCTCGGCGCAGCCAGGCGCCGGAGGGTGTCAGATTTGGGGACCAAATGATTTCGTCTCTGCTCTTTGCGGATGATGTTGTTGTGTTGGCCCCTTCAGACCGGGACCTTCAGCATGCACTGGGACGGTTTGCAACCAAGTGTGAAGGGATGAGGATGAGGGCTGGGATGAGAATCAGAATCAGCACCTCCAAACCCAAGGCCATGGTCCTCAGTTGGAAAAGGGTAGCTTGCCCACTTTAGGTTGGTGGAGAGATCCTTCCTCAAGTGGAGGAGTTTAAGTATCTTGGGGTTTTGTTCACGAGTGAGGGAAGGATGAAACGGGAGTTTGACAGACGGATCAGTGCAGCTTCTGCTGTAATGTGGTCGATGTAACGGTCTGTTGTGGTAAAGAAGGAGCTGAGCCGTAAGGCAAAGCTCTCGATTTACCGGTCAATCTAAGTTCCTACTCTCACCTGTAGTCATGACTGAAAGGACAAGATCCCGGATACAGGCGGCCGAAATGAGCTTTCTCCGCAGGGTGGCTGGGCGATCCCTTAGAGTGAGTAGCTTGGTCACTCGGGAGGAGCTCAGTGTAGAGCCACTCCTCCTCCACATCGAAAGGGGTCAGTTGAGGTGGCTCGGGTATCTGTTCCGGATGCCTCCCCCGGAAGACCTAGATGTCTCCTGACTGGCCTGGGAACCCCGGAAGAGCTGGAGGAAGTGTCTAGGGAGAGGGAAGTATGGGCATCTCTGCTCAGACTGCTGCCAACACGACCCGGCCCCGGATAAGCGGAAGAAGATGGATGGATGGTCATTATGTTATTATTAACTTCTTGTGTTTATACATTATTAAAGTTGGTAAAAAAATGAACATTTATTTTCTAAATGCCTGTTATTGGAATTACTGTGAATGATTCATCCATATGTTTAATGTTTTTGTTCGTTTCTTTGTTCTGTTGTTTAATCAAAATATCATAACTTAACTTTCTGGTGAAATGACAGACTTCTCTCTGGTAATGTGTGTCAGACTTCTCCTTGACTGCAAAAATGACATTCAGATCTGCTTCCAGCAAATTAACAAAACTAAGTACCATGCCTACATTTTTTATTTTCCAATAGTCTGTTTCACTCAGATGTACGTCACATCATGAAGGAAAAGATCTTTCGCTACTATAGTTTCAACACGACTTTACAGAATATTAACGCAGCTTTTGGCCTTTTCCATACAACAACCATTCATGGTGTCCACCACATCTATCAAGCTTAAATCAAATCAGGACATGAATTTAGAGATCCAGAAGGCTGATTCTCCATAGGTTCAGTCGGAAAAGTGAAAAAGAGTTTTACACCATACTCAGTGTTCTTTGTGGCATCACCAAAAGAGACATCTTGAGAGAACCCATGATTAAAGAATGCTCATATCCTTATTTTTATGTATATGAGATTTGACATCAATACAATTTGGTCACCAGAAACATGAGAACCACGTTAGATGATTTCAAGTTGGATGTCAATGACATGTTGCTGACTGGAAAGCTACAGTGTTTTCATCACAAACATCATATGGCTCTTAGAATTGGAATATAGCACTTGAGTCATATGGTCTGCTTTTATAGGTTTTCTTCATTGGCAATTTTGGACCTTGACAGACACAAACACCATGGTGGGATGTAAAAAAAATATGTTTTTGAGCAAAGTATAATAAACAGAAACCTGAATCTGATTTAGTTGTATGTATGGGAGTTCAGTGACATCCTCCAGGCCATGAGTCCGCTTTCAAATGAGATCAGACTAGATTTAAGGCGCTCTCCTCCCTATGAAGACAACATGGATGTGTCTATTGAGCAGGTAACATCAGATTGTTTCATTGCTCAAGGACTCAGTAGGACAGTCCTTGATAAGTGTTTGATGAAAGAGAGAAATGAAGGGCTCAAATGGATTCTGGGTCATTAACAGTGTAGTCATGCATGCAAACCCCTTCAGAGGGGCAAAATTAGAGGTTTAAACATACTGGACATGTTTCTTAGCCTGGATTTAATGAGCAGCACATCACATATGGCAGGAGTTTCACTTTTTTTAAAATGCCACTCACCCAAAAATATCCTCACTCTCATTCAAGGGTCCCCAATTCTAAAATTTAAAATAGCTATACATTTTCATATAAGACCCAATTTATAAAATGCATATATTACAAATGTGTAAAATATTTAGTTTCTGTTACTTAATTTGTTTTCTACTGACCATGGTACTGTACAATTAAATGTAGCCTATTATTTTGGTTTTTTTTTTTTTTTTTTTTTTTGATAGTTGTATTATTAAGTTATTTAAATCAACATTTTTAATAAAAGCACTAAATATTTGATGTTTAAATTGTTTTTATCCAAACTTGCACAGACCCCAAGCACTCTCTTGCAGCACCCCCGAGGGACCCCGGACCCCCAGTTTGAAAACTTTGCTCTGACTGTAAAGAAAGGTTTACTTGTAGTTTGATCTGAGGCAGTTTCATAGAAGCTGAGAAAGACTTACAATTATTTCTGGTGTATGTTAGTGTATGTATTATAATCTTAAAACAACCATACCATAATAATTATGGCCTACAATAACAATGATTCAAATTGAGGAATTTCCCTCGCATACCAAAGGGTGGATACTAGGCATTCATTCAACTTTAACTTTGTAGATAATGAGTTTGATTTATTAATCCGTAAATAAATAGCTGCCAAACTATCTGTATTCACAGTGACTAACGTTAATAGGCTACCTGTTGAATCGTCTGTGTTTGTTATCTGCTTCACAACTTGGTATAGCCTATTTAAAGGATTACCAAGCGACAACTTTCTCTTTTCGACACACAAATATTTATAGACCACAAAAATAAGCAATAGCGTTGCCACATATCGTGTTACATATGAAATACAAGTAAATTAAATCAGTTACACACTCATCCGCCGTCGACAGTTTTACTCTTACCTTTAAAAAAATCTCAAGCGTGAGTCCAGATAAATCAGTGAAGAAAGGGAAAATACGACCCCCGGATGTGTTTCACGTAAACTTCAAAAAGTCCGTGTGAGGGGAAAAAATGCCAAGGAAAAGGATCTCAATAATATTTCAAAGTTAAGTGCATTCTTTATCACTATTGTAAATGTATTCTTGTTACTTTGTGAATGACACCGTTTGTAGCACTTCCACCTACGCTGACCAATCACAGTCGGCGTACGGCTTGACGTCATTGCCGTCGACCTTTCGAAGCCATCGAGCTGTGGAGAGAGAGAGGCCGCAGATTGTTTTCCGCCTCTTTTCTCCCGAATTCTTCCAAATGCAGGCGCCCTCTTTCTGTGACCCTGGGAACAATCTATAATAGCAGAAATATTGTGGTTTTATTGGTTTTGGCCATGTTACTTTGGTACTGTCAGAATTCGTCGTTGTAATGATATGTTGTCGCTTTACATTACGACACTGACAGTCACATTATGAGATGTAGCCTAGGCTATTTGCACTGTTTCTGCTATTATCACCCACCTCTTGTCCTCACATTGTTAATGTGCTTAAATATCTAAGGTCACACCAGTCACTCTTCATTTTTCCACATTTTAACTACTTGTTCACCATAATTATAATATTTTCTGTATCACTTATGAAAACTATTTTACACAAACAAAGTTTAAGTCTCATTAGGAGCTAGAAACACCATACAGAAGGAACAGCGACTGCATGTTCTTAATATTTGACTCGTTATTTTATATCTAACTGTTTGTTTGAGTGGAATTTAGTGAGAAAATAGGTGAAGCTGGTTATATTAAAGCAGGTGAATTCCTGTCATAATATAGAACAGATTAGGTATAGTAAATAGATCCTTAACATGTAAACTTTTTTTAGTTTTTTATTATATGATGTCAAACTATCTTATCTTTCTGCAGAATTAATAGTAGTTGCCCACTCTGAAGCAGAAAACAAATCTATAGGGCAACAATCTCTTGCCCTATAGTTTACACTGTATAGGTTACGTTAGATATGTTAGACCATCTCTATTATATTACACCAGTGGAGGACTAGATTGCACCTGGTCAAAGAACACAGCAGGAGATTGTGGAGACTGAAATAAACTGAAAGGCTGCTGTGTTGCAGAGAAAAGCTGCAGGAAGAGGACCACAGCATACTAAGCAATGAAATTGTGTTGGCATTGGTTTGCTAATTTGAATTTTTAGCAATTTTATTAACTTTAATCTTTTTAATTATTTTTTAAAAATATTTTTAAATAAATGTATTTTTATTTAAGTTTTATTAGTAATTTTATTTAGTTGTCAAGCCTAATAGTTAAGTTGCCAAATTAAATTAGGTTATTTACGAAGCTTTTGTAAAAGTGCATTAGAAAAATATTAGTTGGCCTACCTCAATCCTATCTCACTTTTCAACAGTTGGTTAAAAATGAAGCAGCCAAACTGTTATCAGGAACTAAGAAAAGGGATAATATTTCTCCAGTCTTTGCCTCATTGCATTGGCTTCCGATAAAATTTAGAGTTGCCTTTAAGATTATTCTTTTTGTGTACATGGCAGAACAGCTCAGAACTATATTTGTGATTTCATTCAGCCATACACAGCATCTGTCTAGGTCATTAACGCTACAATATGTAATTTTGTTTCGCCGTTAGGGGTCACTAACCTCTTACAATAACAAAGGCGTAGATTGATTTCACAGTGATCAGCGGAATCATGGAACTTGCCGTCATGCCGATGGATCTAATGTTTATGGACGGGTGAATACATTCATGTTTATTAACATTACACATTTGAACATCAGAGTCTCCATCATTCTAAAGAAAGACTCAATTTTATTATCTGTGATGCTGTGTATGTAAGCTTGAATAGTCTGTTTTATATGTATGTGTGTGCATATATATCTATCTATATATATATATATATATATATATATATATATAACTTTATTTTTATTGGACTTTGGATCAACTACAGATGTGTAAAATTGTGCTCTATAAAATAAAGGTTGACTTCACTTCTTATGAAATAAAATCCCATGGATATAAAAACTAGTTTTGACTTGGAGTTCAATGTTTGTCTCCATCACGACTGTATATAAACAAAAATGTAGGTGCATGATGCAGATTAAAATTTTAAATGAGATGATTTATACATTTGTATTTTGATTGATACATTTGATGCATTTGTATTTTGTCTCTCAGTAAGTAGAAGTATAATTTTGAGATTTATTTTTGTACTGCTAAACATCCTACAGTCCAGTTATTTAATAAGTCCCATTAACCAAACAAATCTACAATGTTTTTTTTAATTTAAATTAGCATAAAAAGCATGAAAAAACACCCTAAATTTCCACTTGGTACAATCGGGAAAAAAAAAATCTTTTTTTTCTTTCTTTTTTTTTTACACAACACAGTGATACAATACAGCTACTAATGCTTTCATACAGATGAAAATAAGCACTTTATAAAAAATATATCTCTACATTGTAACATAGAACGTAGTGTTTGCCATTCAGAGCATAAGGACCGATCTATACATCACTTGACATCCACATCTTGTTCTGAAACCTTGGTTTGAACTCAGTTACTCACGTTATGTGTTCCACGGGTGAGTTTATATCTGGTGGGGAGTGTTTAAGGAAGTCAGATGAGGAAGGATCAACTGACAAAAACATACATAACTATACAGTATGCTAACAGTTTTTCTTCCTTGTTTTGAAATCACAAAATGAAAGGGGAAAATGATGCTCTCAAAATATATCAATAGGAAACAATGTCCTTGTTTCCCTTTCCTCCTGGTTTTTAGGAGTACTTTATATTGGTCCTTCCAAACACCAGTGTCTTTGCGAGATACATGTGATAATTTCTCCCAGCACCACAAGATGGTGTGCAACTCCATTTTTCTACAGCTCGGCACAAGCAGCAACCTCAGTGGAACGGAAAGTCAAACTGTGAAAAAGGGGCTTAATATTTGTGAGGCTGTGTGTGAAATGAGGAAACCCACACAGGACTCCCAAAAGAGTATTGTTTGAACTTTTGAGACTCTGCTGGCTCTTGTTAGACTGGGTTAAGGTGACCGCTACTCTTGAGCTTCTTTCCCAGTCATTTTGTAGAGCTCTGTAGGACCGTCCACATGTGTGATGGTGGTAGTCAGCTGAATGTCCTCTCCACTGTTTCCACCTTGATCAGCTATATGGAAGAAGAGAAGAGAGGAAAATGTATCAGACTGATCGTCTCTTACACTAACAGATCATTACGACAGGGTAGGAATGGCAGGAAACCTTCAAAATTTCAAGGCAGTATTACTTTCTCTATGTGAAGAATCCAGCATAAACAAAAAAAAAAATAACTTAAAATTGCTGTAGTAAAAAACAAGACAACAAGAAATTTGACAATTCCCGAATGATTTCTGACTCACAACAGTAACAAAAGAAGTGAAAGCAGAAATGTTATGGATTTCATTTGAAGAAGGCAGTTTTACATCCAATCCAGACTGATCTCATGAAATGGCGTATGTATGACACGCCAATTCGTATTTCCATTTTTGGTGTGCTGTCAACACGCATAATCGCTTTTCAGCGTGTTTATGAACGCCGTTGACTTAACGTTACATTACTGTATATAAATATATTACTATAGCCAGACCGATATATCGGTAGACTGATATTATCGGCCGATATTAGACATTTTCCAAACTATCGGTATCGGCAGTTATAATGGCCAAAAAATGAATATTTCAAAAATAAAATAAAAACGGACGAAACACGCTTGAACCATGTCATGAGTGTTTGGAGTTATATAGTTTGTCCACCAGAGGGCGCTCTACACCGTTCCTGTTGGCAACACTCGTTGAGTTGGTCACGAGACAAACATCGCTTGAATAACAATTAAAAGAACATCCCCATCAGTTCTCTAAACTCAAATAAGCAGGACAAAATTTGTGACTATCATGTCCAGTTTAAAAAATAAATAAATAAGTAAAATATCGGCCGATATATCGGAATATCGGATTTTAAAACCCCCAAATATTTTTATCAGTATCGGCCTTCAAAATCCTTTATCGGTCGGGCTCTATATATTACCTACCCCAACCCCGTTCCTAAACCTACCCGTCACTGGCATTTATGAGTTTTCCCCTACCATCCTAGAAAAAAAAAAAAAAAATATATATATATATATATATATATATATATATAAAATAATAAATCAGAAAATGGACTGGCAATTTAGTGATATCCTCACAGCTGTGGTCTTGAAATAAAATCCAGAGTCCTCTTAGTCTTAGAGCAAGACAAAACGGAGTTAGGAAATTGGGAAAATGTTAGGAAATTGGAGCCTGAGAGCTGAGGGTGACACATTTTACCACTGGCTCAAGCACCTTAAAACAATTTTTTCACCCATAAAAAGGTACAAAATATTGAAATAATTTTTGAAAAACACACTGAATGACTAATCTGATAATAAACATATACCATTTGGGAGCAAAACAACGAAGAAAGTTTCAAGCATGACATCAAGATATTTATGGTTTTCATTACACCAGCCCAAGTAAAAAGCCTGGCCTAGATTAGAGGCACCCACTGCCGCCAAAGAGGCCCATTTCCCCAAAGGAAAAAAACACAAGCCCCACCTTTTCCTGGCACCAAGATGAGCTTGTCTTAAAACAAACCAAACACCAGGAGACTGTAAAACATGGTGCCAATTAAATACCGTTGCAGTACTGCAGGTACTGATTTCTTTGTGCTGCAGACATGAAACAGCACCGACTGACTATCAAGAGACATCTTTTTAAATACTAAAATTGATTTAGACAACCCATTCGTTTAGATACAGCAAAATAAAAACATTTTGGGGAGTTTTACATTCATCTTTCTCAGGCTTCATGGGGCAAAACTGAGTGGTTTTGGGTGGGTGTGCCTCAAAGTGTAGTCTTAATTTGTCTGAAAACCACATAATTCTAATGTCAACATATTTAGGGTTGTATATGGGTTATGGGTCACATTTTTGCAACAAGTAGGGTTTTTAATATTCCAGGGTGGTCTAGGGCACAGAAATGTCAATGTTATATCTACATTAATGTCCATATTGTCCAAATTGATTATTATTTTAGTAAAATTGGCAATGCAAACACAAAAAGGATTGTGATCAAAGTTTACAATTAACGATTAAGTGTCCATTCGTCTGGTGACTAGTGAGGTACATGTAGCTGTAGTCT